GGGAAAGAGGAAAAAAATAGTTTATCTTTTTAAGGGATTCCATGAAAGAAAAGAAAAAAAAACCCGTTAAAGTATAAAGGTCTGGCCTAGAACCAAGGAGTTAACCCTGGATGCTATGGGTTTTTTTGGTGGTTGCTGTTGTTGTTGTTTTATCGTTATTATTATTTCATTAAATGAACACACAAGAGAGACAGATTAAGAGTTTTCTGCTAAACATAGTTAAGTTTACTAATAAACTTTCCTATCCAATTTTTTCTTTCTAATTATCTTTTAACTCCATCTTCTCTTTCTAATAAGAAGGTAGCATTGTAGGCAATAGTATTGTTTGTCTTGCTGACAGTTCCAAACACAGAATAGTTAGCTTGTGATATAATTGTATCAGTAGATTTACAACTCATTTCCAAAGTGGCTCTTTGAAAACATTAACTTTTAATCACATTTCCATGAACCATATCTGTATTATTTAAAAACATTCAAAAACAAGCCCTCAGAAAATAAATATAACTAAACCTATAAATTCTTCTTTAAAAATCACCCCTTGGTAGACAAGCTCTAACGTAAGATTTGTTGCTTTTCTGCCCACGGCTGTAACTGTATCATTTTAGATTGTAGTGAGCTGTTTAGAGGAAGCCACCAAATATACAAAACATAGTGTGCTGTTGATCTCTTCTTAATTGTTTTTAGGATGTTAAACTGAATTATCTTATTCATAAAGGCAACAAATTCCTTGACTTAATCCTCAAATGCCTTTGAAAACTCAATACGGTGGCAATCATATGACATTTACCCATTAGGATATTGGTCTCTGGGGGTCAAATTTTGGCATGGAAATATATTGTAACGAGAAATAAAACCTTATTAGAAAAATTAATTTCTTATATACTTTTTATTTTATTTTCTGTATCTCAGAGGTTCATTTGAAGATTCTACAACCAGATTTTACACAGCATGTGTGGTGGAAGCTTTTGCCTATCTGCATTCCAAAGGCATCATTTACAGAGACCTCAAACCAGAAAATCTCATCCTGGATCACCGAGGTTACGCCAAACTGGTCAGTGTGTTTCACGCATGGTTTTTGCCCTGAAGTTTTAAAATATTGGCTTATTAAGCTGTGTTAATTTGCTAACATCAAAATCATATTTGCTTTTTACATAATTTTTCTTAAAAGCAAGTTTTAATGTTACTATTTTCAACTAATTATTTTTTCAAATTATGCAAAAGTTATGAGAAATTAAATTTGCTGGGTTTGAATTAATAATATCCTGGCCAAACATGTTTCGGTGTACTCATGCTTGTTATCATGTGTTCATACGGCCTTCTACCTTTCAAAGAGAATAGATATTTACATTATAAAAAACTATGAATTATTTTAATATCTTAGATTTGAGAATAATGCAAATTGAAAAAAGTGGGCTTTGAAGGCAGTGTTATCCAGACCATGTTAATAATAGTAGTACTAATAAGAATAATTTTTAAAAAACAGTCAAGAGCTCTAAAGATTTAGTGTAGAGGGAAGTTCTCTTATTTTAAAATGCACAACTTTTGTGACTTTGAATCTCTCAATGCCTGATTATTTTTAACTTTTAGTATTTTTGTTCAGCATATAATTTTCAAAGAAATCAAATAAGTGACAATTAATTATTTATATTCTCAGCCAAATTGTTATAGAAAAAAAAAATAGATTTTCTTCATTTGAGGCTCCTTCTTCAAAAGGTTTCTAGAAAAACAAAGGAAACATTTCCATTTTATGTTTGTATTTATCAAGAGCAAAGTCATTGGTCCAATAATTTGTTACTCAGCCCCTTCAACAGTAAAGTGGCATTTCAATTAATACTAAATAAATTGTCAACTTCATTAAATCTAGCAGAAATCATGTATGTTTAGGGAAAATATGTCAAGTAGGTCTAACTGGTCTTTTAAATTTTTCGAGTAAAAGAGAAATTATGTCCTAACCTCCACTGGCATAAATGAAAGAAAAATGGAAAGTATTTCCAGAAAGAAATGTTTGCCTTTGTTTTTAATGATGTAAATTTCATCCTCTACTCAGGTTTCAACTTTTCCCACTGAAACCAAGTTTGATCAAGGAAATCTTATTTGTTTGAAATATAGATGCCTCCTTTTAGAAGACAGTACTATATTAACTTATATCTGTTTTTATTTTATTATCAGTATTCTTCAGCAAAGTACCTTCTGCTTTTAAGCTTAATCATAAATGGCTCGAAATATCTTATTTTTCTCTCTTTGTAAGGTTGATTTTGGCTTTGCAAAGAAAATAGGATTTGGAAAGAAAACATGGACTTTTTGTGGGACTCCAGAGTATGTAGCCCCGGAGATCATCCTGAACAAAGGCCATGACATTTCAGCCGACTATTGGTCACTGGGAATCCTAATGTATGAACTTCTGACTGGCAGGTATGGACATTGATAGAAAACTGCCAGTGAAAATAGACCAGCAAACAGCTACACGCTCCTGCCTTTGTCACTCTGATTAGACCATCTTAAAGTACTTTTCACCATATCTTGTTACTGCACTTCAGTTAGTTATGCAGGTAACCAAGAGTTCACAAAGCAAAGTCTAAAATAAGTCAGACGAAGGCAACAAACTCAACAATCAATTTTTAGTCTCATTATTGCTAATTCTTTATATATATGTGAATGTGGAATGATCTAGTGAGATCTTTGAGCCTAGTCATTTAGCCAGCAATAAAGCAAGGGAGACAATAGTCATGTAAAAATATTTGGAGTCAGCTATTTATATAAATAAGAGGACCTGTTAGCAGTTTTTATATCTAAATAAAATATGAATGCTTTTCAGGTTTTTTACGTAATAACATAGTCATCGGCAACTAGAAAAGTTGCTATGAATACTACCAAGTATAAAACGGACTACAAACTTCTCAAGAAAAAGCAAAACAAATATACCGCCAAACCATGCACTCAAGACAGTGAGCAGTAGGGTCATTATGACCTACAGAGTTCAGAAGAATATCTAAATAAAATTTGAATGCTTTTCAGGTTTTTTATGTAATAACATAGTCATCGGCAACTAGAAAAGTTGCTATGAATACTACCAGGTATAAAACGGACTACAGACTTCTCAAGAAAAAGCAAAACAAATATACTGCCAAACCATGCACTCAAGACAGTGAGCAGTAGGGTCATTATGACCTACAGAGTTCAGAAGAAGCCTAAGTTTGCCCAGGGAGGCTTTTGAAGATGATAAAACTACAGCAGAGCCTTACGGAAAGAATGTAGAGAGCAAGCAAGATAAAGGGCATTGCTGACAGAGAGACATAGCTTAAATAAAAGAGCAGTAATGGGCAAAGAAAGAAAGAAGGTTCATGTTTTAAAATGATAGGAAATCAATTAGTCACCTTTCAAGTATTATGATTGCTGCACTTGAGTTTTTGGACTCCATCCAGAGAAAGAATCATTGAGAATTTTCTGACAAAGGAGTGACATGTGTTGTGGCTTGTAAGGAAAAATAGCTGGCAAAAAAGTGTAGGACAAATTGGAAGATAGATAGAGAGGCTAGTTTGGAGATATTTTGAATAATTTAGATCTAGGAAGCTGAGAGCCTAGAATATGCTGAGGTCAGTAGAACAAAAGGAATAAGCATGAAATTGGATGTGAGAGAATTAGTTAAGAGAACTTAGTAGCTACAGAGAAAATGAGAGGAAGAATTGAGACCTTTAGCCTCAGTGTTTTTTATGAGGATTCAGTGAGTATATGAACCACTTAGGAGAGTGTCTAGTACATAGGAAGCACTCCATAAATGTTAACACCTACTGCTACCATTGCCACGAATAGTTATACTGTGCTTTTAATTTTAGTTGTGGATATCTTACATTACTACTCTTGAAGCTTCTATGTTGACTTCAGATAAATTATCTGTGACCTAACCCAATTCTATTCAATATTTACCTTTGGCACAGAGGTAAACTGTTTAAATATATAGAAAATTAAGTAGACATGTAAGGATATGAAAGATTTGGACAAAAGGGAAGGTTGAATTTAACGTACATAAATACGTATGCATATGGATAGGTGGATGGATAGATAACCTTTCTGGTGTTCTTTGCATTGCTATAAAAACAATCATAATGAATGGAAGAAAACGCAATATTAACTAAGAATTTAAATACTAACCATTAATACTTAGACTAAAATGTTAACCATGGTAATTTCTATTTCTCCTTATGTAGCTTTTTTTTCCCCCTACAATTATTATTTATTCCTGGATAATAATGAAAAATGTTAAAACTTTACTCTTAAAAGTTGGTATATACTGAACTATAAAGAAATTATTTTTTTGTTAATCCTTTAATGCAAGTTATGCTCTTATAGAAGAATCGTTGTTTCCATTAGAAATTTCACTGGCCAATATCTGACTGCCATATAGTGAAACTAAAAATTACAAAGATTTAAAACAAAAAGTCTAAACACTTAAAATTAAAAAGCATTAGTTTAAGTATCTACAGGGTCATAAAATTATGGAATAGCAAAACAGCAATAAAAAATAAAGCACTATAAATCACAATTTGTGTGGTATGGCTAAAGCTGAACTTAATTACCATATTTATATCATAAAAAACTTATTATGACTCAAAGTAAATGAGCTTACGAGGTTCCGATTCAAGGTGGCAATATATGATGATTCTGAACTCACCTCCTGCCATGAACACACAGAATCTACAGCTACATATGAAAAAAAATTCCACTGGGGGGGGAAAAAAAAAACCAACCTGAAAACTGGCTGATAAATGTCCACATAACAGTGAAAGAAAGAAGGCCCGGAAAGAAGAGTGTAGGAGAGGCCGGAATACAAATCTTGCCACTCACTTATTTCAAACTTTACTACAAATCTATAATAATCAAAACAGTATGGCACTGGAACAAAAATAGACACATAAGTCAATGGAACAGAATAAAAAGAGCCTAGAGATAAACTCTTATATGGTCAACTAAACTATGACGAAGTAGGCAAGAATATACAATGATGAAACAACAGTCTCTTCAACAAGTGGTGTTGGGAAAATTGTACAGATATATGTATAAAAATGAAAGTCAACCACTCTCTTATACCATTTATACCATATACAAAAGTACACTTAAAATAGATTAAAGTCAAGTGTAAGGCCTGAAATCATAAAAGAAAACACAGGTAGTAAACTATTTGACATCAGTCTGAATAACATCTTTTTCAATAAGTCCCCTCAAGCAAGGGAAACAAAAGCAAACATAAATGGGACTTAAACTATAAAGCTTCTGCACAGTGAAGGAAACCATCAATAAAACACAAAGACAACATACTGAATGGGAGAATATATTTGCATAGCTCTGATTACAGGTTAATATTCAAAATATATAAGAACTCATACAATTCAATAACAAAAAAATAACAATGTGATCAAAGAAAATAGGCAGAGGACATGACAAGACATTCCTCCAAAGAAGACATACAATGGCCAACAGAAATATGAAAATATGCTCAACATCGCTAATCATCAAGGAAATGTAAATCAAAATCACAATGAGATATCACCTCACACCAGTCAGAATGACTATTAACAAAAAGTCAACAAAAAACAAGCTGGTGAGGATGTAGAGAGAAGAGAACCCTGTACACTGATTGTGGGACTGCATATTGGTGCAGCCACTATGGAAAACAGTATGGAGATTCCTAAAAAAACTAAAACTACATTATACAATCTAGAAATTCCATTTCTGTGTATTTATCTGTAGTAACTGAAAACACTAACCCAAAAAGATATATGCATTCCTGTGTTCATTGCATTATTTACAATAGTCAAGATATGGAAGTAACCTAGGTGTCCATAGGTAGATGAATTGATAAAGAAGATGTGGTATATACATACACAATGTAATATTATGCAGCAATAAAAAAGAATGAAATCTTGCCATTTGTGACAACATGAATGGACCTAGAGAGTCTTATGTTAAGTGAAATAAGTCAGAGGAAAATGAACAGCATGTGATTTCTCTTATATATGGAATATTTAAAACAAAACAAAATAAAACCAGACTCATAGAACAAAGACCAAAGGCATGGTTGCCAGAGAGGAGGATGATGGCAGGGATGGGTGAAAAAAAGTGAGGAATATAGTCAATAATATTGTGATAAGTTTACATAGTGACCAATGATTATGAGAATTAGCGGGGTAATCACACTGTAAGGTATAAAAATGTTAAATCACTATATTGTACACCTGAAACTAACATAACTAATATTGTAGAACTATATTTAAATACATGATATTATTCATTCTAAAGAAATTATTTAAAGAATATACGAAAGATTATAAAATCTATTGGCCACTTCTATTAAAAACAAAATATTGGAGCAAATAAGCTTTGAAATTCTTATATGATATGCAATTTCATGAAAGCAAGACATATAACTATTTATAAACAAAAATTTATATCATAATTTTGTTTTTCAATAGCTATTATTAAAACCTCAAATCATTAATATAAAGACTATGAGAGGTGGCTGTTTTACCTAATGCATGGAAACCAACAGAGAATTAAGCATAATGAAGAAACAAAGGAACGAGATTAAACTTTAATAAAAATAACATACCTGATAAAGACTTTAAAGTAATGGCTATAAAGATGCTCACCAAACTCAGAAGAAGAATGGATGGACAGTGAGAACTTTAAGAAAGAAAGAAAAAAAATATAAGAAAGTTAAACAAAGAAGTAACAGAGGCTAAAGAATGCATTAACTGAAGTGAACAATATACTATAGTAGTTAAACAGTAGACTAGATGAAACAGAAAAAGGGATCAGTGAACTCGAAGGCACAGTAGTGAAATTCACTCAATTAGAGCAGGAAAAAAAGAATGAAGTGAAGATACTTAAAGAGCATGTGTGACAAAATCAAGCAGGCTAACCTTTGCATTACAGGGGTCTCAGGTGGAAGAGAGAGAAAGGGGCAGAAAACTTATTTGAAAAAATAATAGCTGACCACTTCCCTACCCGGGAAAGGGAACAGACATTCAGATCCAAGAATCACAGTTCCAAGTAAGAGGAACCCAAAGAGGCCCACACTAAGATATAGTATAATTAAAATGTTAGAAGTTAAAGATAAGGAGAGAATCTTAAAAACAGCAAGAGTAAAACACTTGTTACATACAGGAGAACTCATATAAAACTAGCAGCATATTTTTAGACAGAAACTGCAAATCAGAAGGGAGTAGCATGATATATTTAAAATTCTGAAAGAAAAAAAACCAAAACTTGGCAAAGTTATTCAGAATTGAGATATGAAGAGTTTTCCAGATGAACAAATGCTAAAGGAGTTAATCACTACTAAACTGAACCTACAGAAAAAAAATGTTAAGGGACTTCTTTAAGTTGAAAAGAAAGGTTGCTAATTAATAACAAGA